AGTCTCCCCATAGCTCTTCTTACTTATTTTCCCTTTCTTATAGTCTTGCAGCTTTAATTTCTTCAGAGTTAATGGTGTGTTAACTGCTAATGTCTGGCTTTTGCATGTAGGGTGAAGTGTTACTTTTTGTCTTATTTGGCCTTGTCTTATTCCAGCTCTCATGGAAACCTCTCTGTTTCAGGGCTTCACTGCCTTTTTTCAGATGTCTTTTGAGTCTACAGTGTTTCTGGCTCTGTTCCTGGGTTGCTAGCTTCTAGGATACTTTTGCAGAGATGAATTTGTGATGTTATTCACCGTGTCATTTTAGGCTGCTATTTTGTAGCCTTTTGATAAATCAAGATTTTTTTTTTCCTTCTCTTGCATCTTTTCTATTATTGATACATGTTTCACGCTCTAAAGTAATTTAAATTGTATTTGCATTGCCTCTTCAGTGCAAAGTTTTAAATTGTTACATATGGTTGACTGTTGCGTGCTGTGTTTGCATAACTTGGCCATACACAAATAAAAACATCAAGTGTCTTTGGACATGGAAACAACTGAAATGCTGACCAGCTCTTATTGACAACGTCTTTGAAAGAATCTAAAGTGATTTTTTCTTTTCCCTAGGATTTTTTTGAAGAGATAGAAGATCTAAAGCATGCAGTGCAGGAATCTGTCAAACTGAATAACCAGTACGAAAAGTGCTTGAAACAAATAACTGATATGTATGGACTCCCTTTTACAGCACATTTGTAACTACTAATTAATCTGATGGCAAGTAGGTTTTCTACCTGTTTTTCATACTTACTGCAACACTGAAACCTAACACAGTTCACGTAGTACCATGTTTTGATAGTACTATGAATTCAATATGATCTAAATGTAGCAAGCTATTCTGAGATGTTTTATTTTTATCGTATGTATTTGATTTTGCTTATATAGTTTTAAAATAAACTGTGGTCTGTATAACTTACAACTAAGTTTTCTAAACTCACTCTCTTTTTCACGCTCATAAAACCCATTAATTGCAGGAGTGGTTGTGGGTGTTTATGGGAAAATGATAAAACTTTTGGATTTCAATTTCAAGAATTTCCAAATTTATCCTTTTCTGTAAACTATTAAGAAAAAAAGTATTCTTTTATTATTTTTCAAACTTCAGCCCTAAGGATATGCTAATGCAGGCATAAAATAGTTCTATCATCAAGTTATTACAAAGGGATGTCTTAAAAGAAAGATTACTAAATCCCCACTTGGAGACTTTTTTAAAAAATTATGACAAGGAGTTAAAATTTGTGGTTGAAGGAAGGATTTAGGATTCAGAATTGGAAATAATGTATTCCAAAAGATGGTCAGGCTTGTCTTGCAGTATCAAAACAGTATTCTGATGAATAACTCATCAGAAGCTCTTATTTGATCGAAGAGTGAGGAGTAAGTACTCTGGTATTTGGAGTGCTGAAAGGAAGTGAATGCTGAGAGTTGCAGCTGAGAAGGTAGAAATGTCACATTGCTTCAGAGGGAGATGTTGAGAAAACTTGGAATGATAGGAGAAATCCGCTTGCGAGTGTGGAATTAGAAAGGGAAAGCCTGTAGGATTTGAACCCAAACCTGTTTGTAACTACGTGACACTTCTGTGACGCACACAAATACCCAGAATTATATTTTCTGAATGTTGTGAACATGCACCTGTGTGACGTTACAATGGGAGAACTGAGTGAAAACTTGAGATTATCACAAGGTTAGGAATACTGAGCTTATTCATACCCTAATTCAGCTTCTTTGCTATAATAAAAATACTGACTGACTGGAGTTAGGACTAGGACTCTTGTATCCTACATGATGACAGTTCTATATAGTTGTAAATTAATAAACAAATTGGCCTCAAAGAAGATGTGGTATTCAGAATTATACATTCACTAAGTAAGAGGAAGGATAAAGCTCTGAGCGACTTGCTTCCTGGTCTGTCTGTGGGCCACTGTATCATGCTTTCCTTGCTTTATTCCTGGCTCGCTTGTAAATTAAAGCTGGATAATGTCCTGAACAGAGATAGAGAAGGGAAAGAAGAGTTTGTGTGGCCAGTAAACTTGACAGGTGAAAACAGGAGGAGTAGTATGTACGATTAAGTGTTTTAAGTACAAAAATGTATCTGATATGTGGTAATAAGCGAAATAAACACTGCTGCTGGAGAAGGGAAGCATCACACTTCTAAAGCTTGAGCATTAGTCAGCTGAGCATTTTTTCCCATAGCTTTGTGGTTTAACATTATTCTTCTAGCATGTTTAAACTTTGGTGACAGTATTATTAAATCAGCAGTTCTCCTTATCCACAAGCTGGCAAAGTTCTGCTCTTGGCCAGGTAGTGAAGATCACAGTTTTTCCATTACAGTATGTTTGTTGCCCAAACAATTGAAATAGCGAGTAGGATGGAAATCTTGATCTTGCCTTCGTGATGAGCTCATAAAACTCTTAAAATCAAGCCACTGCCACTTACTTAAACCAAGAAATGGGGAGAAATCGTTCACTCTTGTCTGATCACTTAGATCCTTAATCCCCAGCAACAAAACATATCCTAGGCAAATCTTAAAAACCAGCCATGCTAGGAGGAGGAGTAGCAATAGATCTATCCCACAGCAGCGACGTGTTGAACCACAGCTCCATCTTGCAGCGCGTGTGCGGTCTGACAGCGTTATTTCTGACCTTTCCATCACGTGCGAGAGGACAGCTTGCTTCCGTGTGGCTCTCCAGTTCTGGTGTACCTGTATGTGAGGTTGAGAGAGCTGGTGCACATGCTCACTTCTGGTTAAACTGCTCGGACTTTGGGGTGCAGAGATGTCCAGCCACAGACCCGAGCAGCCATCAGCTTGCAGGTGGCAGAGCGAGGTAGGCTGGAGGGAGAAACATCTGATGCAGATGGGTGTTTCTGTCAGCTGGCAGTAGGGGCTGTCTTTCAGCTCATTCTGCCTCGCAGACTTGGTGATTTATTTTTTCTTTAGCTGGAAATGTAGGGTGCAGATGGGAGACCTCTGACATCTTCCCCGTCTGTGGCACGACTCCCGGATTGTAACAGCTAGCAGCAGACATGCTGTGACAGGGAATGTGTACAAAAACGACAGCATCTCTGCGTGTTTTTTGATTAGCTCTTTTCTACTAACTGCATTTATTATTACTATTACCATTATTGGCATTTTATGAGATCATTAGACTTCAGGGGAGATTTTTTTTTTCCTTTGGTCTGAGGAAATTTGATGAGTGAAGAATCACATAACAAAAATCTACTAGAAAATACAGTAGCACCAATAGCAAAACAACAGGTTGCATTGGTTTTAAGCTTTGTGTGGGCTGTGAATACAGACACACAGGGCTTTTGGTTTTAGTAACTTACTAGTGATTCAGTACTATTTTTCTTAGGAGAGAAGGCTGTTTAGGACTACCAAAGTCTGCTTCCAAATTCTGGGGTAGGTACAGTTTGTTCAGGATTAGTCTGTATGAAATTGGGTTCTTACAGTTAAGAATTTACTCGTCTTTTGTGCTTGTTGCTGTATCTGTTGAACAGATATTTTTTAGTCTTGCCCTGTTGTGAGATGTACAGACCAGATCTCATTGATTTTTATTGCCAGATACAGATGAGTTTTATGTTAAAGAAGTTAATCAGCCTTTATTTGTAGTTCCTCTGTGCCATGAAATCGTGATGTCTGGCCAGTAGCCTTCTCATGTAAAACTAAGTTTAGATAGAACTGAATTACATGCAATTATCTATTAGTCATGCTAACGTTAAATAATGCACACTGGAAATGTTACATGATGAAGATGAATGGCTCTTTGTCTCGAACAAGTACTTTGTAGTGTTGATATGGGAAGCTCGTGTTTGAAAATAGGTGGCTGTTATCAAATAGAGGTTTGGGTTGGGGAAAAGAAAAAAACGTTTTTGATTTCTGTGAAACATCAATCAAATGGGCTAGGACGTAGGGCAGTAAAACAAGCTGAGTTTTGTTCCTGTGGTCAGCATGTGACTGTGGCCAGGATTTTGAAACAGAACCACACAAAATTAATGGATCTTTAATTTTATCTCAGTGTTCCTAAGACTTAGGGTCTGAATATTCAAATGTACCCGGTGTTCACAGTTCTGATCAGCTTTAGTTGACACAAATTAACGTTGACTGCTTATCACTGTCTGCCTTCAATAACTGCCAGTATCCAGGACCTTAGTACCATGTTACAATTTCTCTGTTGTAGTAATCAAAAACAGGGGGAGGGCAACAAGACTTTTTGTGGTTTCCTCTCAAAGTTTGTGAGCCTGTGAAGTAACACCTGATAGCCCTGCTGCAGTCCCTGTTACACCGTTGACCTTTAAAGAGTGGGTCTGCCAGAGCTGCAGCACTCTTCAGATTGAAACCTGGAGAGGTTGCATGTGGAACCTCTAATTTCACTTAAAGTAAGGCTGGTATCCCTGTCCTCTCATTTGGGATACTTGTTACTTGTAGGCATTGGCACAGAAAAAGTGTTTGTGTGAGGGACTTCAGAAGCAGAATTGTGAAAATGGGGGTATTGCCTCCTTAACCCAGAAATAATGAGTTTCTCTCGAATGTCTGTGAACAAGTGAAACAATCCATGAGCCCTGTTACAGCTGTGGGTTATCAGAGTGAAGTCATTTGCTTTAAATTAGTCTTTAAAATGGCGTAAAATAAAATTACAGTTTTAAAAGGGATAAGTTTCCTCTTTGGGCCGCAAACTATCCAGGGTGGAAGAAGGCAGGAATGACAGTATAGTTGCCAACTTGGAAAGGCTTGCTTTCCCACATTGCTTCTGAAGAAGAAGACCAAATTAGCAATTTTGGACAAATAGATATATTTATCCTTTTCAGGAAAGTACCTCAAGGTGTTTTCCAACCTAGATGATTCTGTGCATATGCATAGGTATGTGCATTTTTATTACAGCAAAGCTTTCATGCTGATGGGAAACCAACATGGTAGCTTTTTGCAGGGACTGCTGGCTTTATGAATATTTTATTTTGTATTTTCTCCACAGGGATTTCGTACTGATATGAAGTCCCGCTTGGTCCTCTGACAAGACCTTACTATTTTCACCTTGGAGAGGAGAACTTAGCCACTGGGAAAGACTCTGATGCTGGTACTGCAATGCTGACTTCCAGCTTGACCACTATGAAGAATCTTCCTTCGAAGAAGAGGATCTATTTCCTGCTGAAACTTGTGTGCTTTGTCAGCTCCGTGTTAATGTTTTGTGAATTTTTAATTTACTATGTGGTAATTTTTCAATGTCAATGGCCAGAAGTGAAAGGTGGAGCTCACACAGGTAACACAGAGACTTCAGCTTCAGTCCTGAAGGCCATAATTTTAGCTGATACTCACCTGCTTGGTGAAATCAAAGGACATTGGCTGGACAAATTACGAAGGTAGTAATTTAATTTTTTTGAATCTCTATCCTGTTTTTAGAGTTTTTAATAGTAACTAACGGGACAGATGTTTAAAACCAACGTTGCTGTAGTCTTAAGAAATGCGCATACTGCTTCTGAGTGCCAGTCTGTACCTGGACTAGATAATAAAGGCATTAATGAATGGGACTTAGGTGGTGCAGTCTTAACTGTTCAAGTGAGTATAGGTACCTGAGCATTTTAGATAGGTCAGACAGTCTTTTCCAGTGTGTAATTATTTTTTACAGTGCCTTAAAAACGAGCCAGGTAACTTTTATGTCCCCACCTGTTAACACCTTCAACTGCAGAGGTAAGGAAGCCAGTAGAAATTTATTTCTGTAGTAGAAGAATGGGCAGCAAAATCGTATTTAAAAACAAAGGTAACCCAATCCTATGCCTGCTGCACAGAGACATGTTTTTTTGGTCTTAAAAAAATGCTGAAAAAAAGTATGATTCTAACATTATATGAAGCTTGTAAACTTTTGCTGAAGAAACAATTGCATAGTAAAACACATTAAATAATTCCCTGTTCTAATAAATTGTTATTTAATGGAATTGTAGTGAATAAAAATAAACAAACTGGTATTACTTCTTGCATGACTCTGTTCTGATTGTGTTGCTGTGGAATTACCCAGCAGGTAAGATGCACCTACTGCACTTAAACCTGGTTTCTAAGTGATTAATTTGAATTTCATAGTGTGTAGGAGCCATCTTCACATTCCTGTCAGGCCGTGTTCGTGTATTATGACGTGAGGATCTAGAGGTTTTGCAGTGATGACTGGGTATGTATTCTCTCTTTAGGGAATGGCAAATGGAGAGATCTTTCCAATCTGCCATGTGGTTACTGCAACCAGATATTGTTTTTATTCTGGGAGATGTCTTTGATGAAGGAAAATGGAGCTCACCTCAGGTATGACATGAACAGCTCTCTTATTTGAAAAAATGAGGATTGCTTGAAGGAAATGGAAGGCAGAAGGAAGCACACACTAGGTATGCAAGGCTTTGTTTCATGTTACTGCAATTGTCCTACTGATAGTTTCTAGTGTTTTAGATACTAGTTGAGATGTTGTGATTCTCCTTCATTTTTGGTGGTATCTTGACATTTTTACCTTTTTACTAAACTTGGAACATGTGAGCATCTCACTGAGTGTGTGCTTCTGTGTTATACATTATTGATTCCTTTTGATATTGTGGAACAGCATTAATTTCTTCATTTTTTATTTTCATGCAGGCATGGGCTGATGATGTCAGGAGATTTCGCAAAATGTTTAAGTATCCAGCTTCTACTGAACTGGTGGTTGTCGTTGGAAATCATGACATTGGATTTCATTATGAGTAAGTCCTTTCAAGTGCCAACATGTGCAACAGCAGCCTGGCTGGTATCAGGAATAGTGCAGCCAGCAGGAACAGGGAGGTGATCGTCTGCTTGTACTCTGCTCTGGTGAGGCCGCACCTCGAGTGCTGTGCTCAGTTTTGGGTCCCTCAGTACAAGAAGGACACCGAGGCCCTGGAGTGTGGAGACATTTCTCCTCAGAAAGAGCAGTCAAGAATTGGGACAGGTTGCCCAGGGAGGTGGTGGAGTCACCGTCCCTGGGGGTGTTCAAGGAAAGGTTGGACGTGGTGCTTGGGGACATGATTTAGTGGGTGATATTGGTAGGAGGGAGATAGTTGGACTAGATGAACTTGGAGGTCTCTTCCAACCTTAATGATTCTGTGATTCTGTGATCTACAGACAACACACAACAGGAATACATTTTAGAACAGTTTTTAGGCTACTTTTGTGCTTCTTGAAGCACGTGTGAGGTTGTTCAGGGCTAGTTTTTCTGCATGGGCAGAAAAAGTCTTGAAGCTACTTTTCCTTGTTTTGGGCTTCATTGTCTGCAAAGTGCTTAGTCTAAGCATATTCCCTTTCCCATTTCCTCAGTGTGGAAGAGTGTAAGTGTGCTTGCTCTGCTGTGCTTCGGTTGGATGTCTGCTTACACTGATGTGACTAGGGCAGAATTTCAGAGCTTCCCTGTGATTTTGCTGAATGAATACATGGTGTAAATAACGGAGCTGTAAGCTGCATGAATGGTCTAAAAAATGCAAAGCAACTGTGTCAGGTTATTTATTATAATGCCAATTTCTTACCTCAGTTGTATTTTTGTCCTGTCACACAGAATGACCACATACAAGGTAAAGCGATTTGAAAAAGTTTTCAACTTTACTTCAGGAAAGCTAATAACTCGAAAAGGAATAAAGTGAGTATGTATATATATATATTTTAAATGTTTAGAGTAGTTATTAGTGGGCTAGGAGACCTAAGCGATGAAGAATGAGAACTAGAAGTGAATTTCTTATAAAATAGTATGAGAATATTATTAATATGCCTAAGTTCTGTTATGATTATTATTTTTGATCTAGCTTGTGATACGTTAAACATGAAGCACTTTGAATAAACTCATAGTTTGATGTGGAGGAGAAGCTTTTGCTTTAAGCTAGGCCAATTTTCTTCTAAATGGAAAAGTACTGAGGAGTCGGAATGAAATTCTCTGGTTTGCGATTTTACTTCCTTGCAGCTGGTAATGACCCATGGCTGTAAACATAGCAGAAGAATAGGATCCACAACCCCCCTCGCCCCCCCGTGCTTGCAAGTTAAGAGTTTCATTAATTTTAATAACTTCTTTAGTCTGCGGAACTTAACTCTTGGTCGAGGAACTCGGGAGCACAGCAGTTGCTTGTCCACAGGTTTTCCACAGGGTGGGGCAATGATGCACAGGCTGGGTTTGACTTTGACTAGACCTTGTTACAGGGCTTGTTCTCATCCTTGTCTCTTTCTGTAGCTGTCTGTGTGTGCCCTTCTGGTACTTTTGTATATCATGCAGGAGTCCGATGTGAGAAAACAGTAGTAGGTTTGTGGAAAAGCATTGGCATGATTAGGTTATAATCACACCTGTGAATGTAAGATTAAAAAACTGGAAGGTTACACTAGTTCCCTTAATTAAGCAGACATTTAGAATATGCTGAACAGATCCAGAAATAGTGTTGTCTTCACCATCTCCCCCCCCAAAGATATATGAGCTTAGTGAATGCCCAGTGTAATGCTGTTGTTTATCATGCAGATATAGGATCCTCTAGAAATGTATTCCAGCTGTTCAAAATAGAAGTATTTTAAGGAATATCTCCATGTCCCCTTCCATTAATCAGCACAGCAGAATTCCTGCTTCCAGTTGCAGATTGTACATCTAGTATCATATTCATTAATTGAAAAGAGACGTGTTATTAATTAAATGTTACTGAATAAACCCTTTTTATAACAAATCTGTTAGAAAAGCAGATTAATCTGATGAAAGAGGATTAAAATTTGGGGCGGTGGGAGGTAGCATCTCTTAAACGGAGGCAATCAACTCATTCATGTCTGGTAAATGTACTGAGTTGAGCTGGAAATGCAGCTCCTCCTGCAGTTCTGACCGAGGGACTAAACAGGTACAAATCTTGTGGTAGGAAGTCCGTAGAAAGTTGGTTTGAAACCTACAGGGAAATCTTTACCACTGTAAATGCAGTTTTCTGTGTGAGAGACCACAAAGTATGGAACAGTGTTCAGGGTAGACAGTCAAGTACAGTGCTATATTGCTTTTCAGTTGTTCGAAAGGAATTGGATGTCTAAAGTGATGTCTCTGATGCCTGAAATGTGCGTGGGGCTAGAAGCAGGTTCTCTTTTCCTTCAGAATTCCCATTAGTTGGCTTCTAACACTCCACTAAAATACCACTTAAGAATTGATAATAAATAAAGGTGTAAGCATGAAATACAGCATACAGAGTATCGTGCAACCTAATTAATAACTGATTTATAAAGCAGCCTACCAGGTAGAAAAATGGCTATGGTATGGGTACTCCGAAGAGGATTTATAACATTGTGGCTTCAGAAGCTGCAATATCCTTTTGTTTTGTTGAGCTGTGTTTGATTTTGGATCACTTGCATTCCATAAAGTAAGGTTTATCCTACGTGTGCACGAACAGCAAATGCTTTCTTGTCCTCACTTCTTTCTCCCTGCCCACGCCCTGGTGTTTTCCAGCTTTGTCGTAGTGAACAGCGTAGCCATGGAGGGTGACGGCTGCGCTATCTGCAGTACCTCAGAGGCAAAGCTTGTGGCGCTTTCTCACAAACTGAATTGCTCCCAGCAGGTAAGAATTTATTCAAGATGTGATTATAGCCAGCAACTTGGCCACTGGAATGGAAATATTGATACTGCAGGAAGAGTCAAGATATAATGAAGGCTTTCTTCTGAAAAAAAATCAGCTTCCAATTCGTGTTGTGACTTGTTAGCAAATCTCTCTTCCTCATTTTCACTTATCATTTTTACTGAACTGCTCGCTGTGTTGCTCTGCACTAATGGTGTTAACTTCCTTGTAAGTGCTGCCAACTAGCAGAGGGTGCAATTTCTTCTGTTCCAAGGAATGGCAGAAGCCCTGTAACCCTGCACTTTCTGTGAGGTGTATAGCAACCCATGCATTTCATTTTTTGCATGTTGTTCTGTTCTATATCCTTTCAACTGATTTATTGTAGTTTTCTGATTCTACTGGAGTCCTACCTCAATGGCCTAGTAATGTTTTTGTCATATTTTTTCATCAAATCCAGTTGCTCCTCATTTCGTTCCTCCTCCCGTTTTCATAGGCAGACTGGACACAAGGTAGGCAGCATGATTTACAGGGTTGGCAGTCAATCAGGAAACCGTCTCTCAGTGGAAAAATGGTCAGACACTATCTGCTGTCTCTCTCAGGCTGCCCTATTTATCTTTTGCCTTGCTTGTGGAAAGATTGACAACAGATTCTACTGTTACTTTCCATGTTCAGAAAGAATGTAATTGTATTCACAGCACATACAGAAAGAGAAATTCAAGCACTGCCCATTGACCCACCGTAGTGGCTCTTAAAATTTCATACAGTGGACAGTATTTAAATACTATACTCTGAGCTATTACTGCTTTTCTCAAAACATGAAAAAAAAAAAGGCAAAAAAACCCCAACCCCTCAAAACCTAGCTATTGTGTAATTCCCTTCCCCAACCCTTTGGCATACGTAGGTGAAGACAATATGTATGGATTGATTTTATTCACAGAACTGGAATCATTCCAACAAAGGGTGCAGTGACGTGGAAAAGCTTCCAGCTTCGGAACCAATCCTTTTACAGGTGTGTTGGAGAGGGGGTGAGGCAACACGTTGAGGTGTTTTTAGTGCATCTGTTACCTTTCTAGAAAGGCCGGACCATTAACAACTGATCCTTGCTTTGATTTTCTCCCAGCATTACCCTTTCTATCGGAAAAGTGATGCTGAGTGTAGTGGAGAAGATTCTGCCCCTCCAGAGGAGAAGAACATCCCATTTAAAGAGAAGTACGATGTACTGTCTCAGGAGGCATCGCAAAAGGTTTATACATTAGGAGATCGAGTATCGGTGGGTGGGTGGGAGGGACTGTGGCACGGGTATACAGGTACCTATAGATTAGAACCTTTTGGAAAGGACAAACGTTAGCTGAAACATAACGACCACAACTGCTCCTGCTTTAATGTGGCCTTTGTGAGGCTGCTTGTTAGAGCTGTTCCCTTGAGGATCATCATGATCATGGCCTTGATTCTGCAGGTGATAAATCCCGGTGCTCTTAAGTGTGTTGCGCTGCTCTTATCTCTAGTGTTTTGCAACCTATGTGATGTGTAGATTATTGACAAACCCAGTAGAAAGTCCAATGCTTTGAGAGTACTGCTCTTGCTGCAATAGGAGCTACAAGAAAATGTAAAGTCAAAACATTTCCAGAAAATCTAGTGGGCAGTGTTTATTTCCTTCTGCATAAATGTCTTTGCTCAAGACTGGCAGTACAAGATTCTCTCTTAGACAAGAAATCAGCATTGCTTTATTAAAAACAAGATCTTTCTATTTGTAATGTCAACAGCATGCTATTGGCTTTGTTTTTCTGATCAGTATGGCCAGAAAAAGTCTGGTACTTGTGATAAGGGCTAAAGGGGAGTGATATTACAATATCAACAGATGTCTTACCGGAAAACAAAAGTTTATACAAAACACTTGGTAAGATTATTAGAATTCCCACATATTCATTCTGGCAGAAGAAAAACTGGGTCTTACGCTCAGTGTCTTTTCAGTCATGACTTGCTGTGCTTTACCATTTTGTTTTCTAGCTGCTATGGTGGTTTCGTCCCCGTCTGATTCTCAGTGGGCACACCCATAGTGCTTGTGAAGTGCTGCATGCGGGGAAAATTCCAGAGATCAGCGTCCCATCGTTCAGTTGGAGGAATAGAAACAATCCTAGTTTCATCATGGTAAGTTTTAATTTTTTTTTTTTTATTTTTGTCAGATAACTTTCATAAATAAATCAACATGGCAGTCAGCTATATTTTAGAACTGATTCTACCTGTAAAAACAAAAAATAATAATAAAAAAAAAATTGCCTACCCACCCAACCCACTCAGTACACTGCATCCACTTTATAAAGTACATCTGTGGGAGCCACATGTTCCGTGTGGTACAAAGCAATGCTGTTCAAGGTCTAATTAGTATATGGGTACAAGCATCTAACAGTTTCTTATAAAGAGGGTGCATTGTAAACTATTGACTTGTAAAAATAATCAGTATTGTGCACGGAACAGTAGAAAGACTCATTTTGCTCGGTTGATTTACCAACTACGAAAACAAGACCGCGTCCACCTCAAAGTTTCGCGTGGTGATCATGGTTTTCAAACTCGTGCATTAACCACTTCACACAGTGAAAACGTTGGTCACATGCCAATAGTCTGTCTCCTCGTGTCCAATTCACATTTTATACAGTGTGTTGGTTATGCTCTCGCAGGCAGTTCCAGTGCTCAGTATATCCTTAGAGGTAAAACAATTAGTTCCCCAGTTCAAAAATAAAACAGAACTCCTAGAAACTTGGAGTAAGAAGCAAAACCTACAATCTGCTTAGAGTAGTCTGTGACTTGGGCTGGTGGGGGGAGAATCTTTTCTGTATTTTTGCTGCTGTTGAGTTTAGGCTGCTTAATACACAGATAGCCCCAAACTTTTAAATTCGTTTTTATGCAACTGTTAGTATTTCTTGTTGAAAAGTAGTTCTGTTTATTCCATATTCCTGAGAGTAGCTGCCTTCAAACCACATAGGCTCTCTCTGCACACACCAGACAGTGCATCTTCACTGCAAAACAAGAGGTTGGCTAATTAAAGTTGCATCATCTTCACTACTGTTTTAAATCAGCCTCAGACTGTTGTAAACTTTAATTAGAAGTCAAGCCAAAACCCAATGAAGTTCCCTGTTGCTGAAGTTCACGTACACAATTTGGATTAGCCAATGTGTTTTTTGCAGCATGTACTGGGTAGGAGGAGGGTTCGGGGTGAGGAAGGGGCACATTCACAAAACCTAACTTTAGCCTGGGAAGGCTCCTTCCAGGTTGGTTAACAGCAGCTAAAGTTAGGCTTTTCTTGAAGGCAGATCCGATGAGGAGCCCAGCTCTCTGGTTACTCTAGATGGAATAGAGGGAAGATTGGCATCTGGGCTAACGTTGGCCTGGTGACTGTTCCAGTTAGTGCCCAGCACCACAAGTATGGGCTCTTCAGCCCCCTGGAGAAGGCACTGGTACTAGGAAACTGGCCCCAACCCTTGCCACCCAACACCGAATTTAGAAATCGGGAGGTCTGACAGCCATGGTGTTACTCCTGATTTAGAACCTACTGTAACAGCAAAGTGACAGTCTTCGTTTCTTTTCCAGGGCAGCATAACACCAACTGACTTCTCCCTCCAAAAATGCTTCCTTCCGCATGAGAGCACAGTCTTTACTATATACTGTGCAGCAGGTGCTCTGCTCGTAATCCTGATACTAGCTCATTTTCAGCTTCTCACTCCACCATTTTATTTTGCTCAGCATTTAATCAGTAAGCATAAAGCAGTATGAAGAGCCAAACATCTGCATTCAGTCACTGAAATACCAAAGCTGAGAACAGTCAAACATCAGACTATATTCATGCCAGCAAATGACCTAATTTGATTGCTAGTCTGAAGGCAGGTTGCATTTACACATACCATAGAAGTCCTATACAGCTGATATGACTACTACAGGATAAATAATTAACCAAAATGAACGTTTCATGCTGTACAAAAATACTGTATTCTACAATCAAATGAGTCCTTTTCCTGCTATAATTTTTGTATCAAATATGTATATTAAAAGTTTAACTGTACATTATGTAAATCCTATAGCCTCATCACTTATCTGCACTAGTGTCTTACCCTGGTGGAGGCTCAGTCCTGCAAACTGGAAACGTTTCTCTGTTTTATTGCTGCATGGCCCTTCTAATGTCATAGGTCTGTTTGTTAGGGTCAGGCAGAAGCTAGATACATCAGCACTGAGAGATGCAGATTTCCGTAACCTTTATAGGATGTCATATGTAAGGGACTGTAGTTTGGGACAAGAAATCTTCCAGTTCCTGACATATTAAACTGTTAGCTGACTACAAATTGCAGTTATCGCCTACCAGACAACAACAGGAAGAAGCCTCGCAGATCCAGTTTGCTGATACACACCTGAAACCTGCTTTAAAAAAAAAATAAATTAGGGCGACACCTCAAGCTGCTATTTTTAAAAAGATGTGCTATGATGAGCTTAAAAAAGAGGGCCCTATTGCATCCCAGAGATCTGTGTGGTGAGGGGCCCTCCAGTTGCCGATCTTCTGCAAGAAGGAAGGTCAAATACAGCTGCAGTAACATTATCCTATGCCTTGGCCCTCAGTCTACAGACAGCTAGGGATAGGAATGCACGTTAGTTTGGATTCCTGCAGGGCCGCCAAGTTTTGTTAGCTTTCTTGTAGAGTCACATTTTGAACTGCACTAGCTCTTTGCTGGGGAGGGGGAGACCGCCAGCACCGGCAGCAGCACGGAGGGTGTAAGGTCTGAGCTCAGCCTCGTTGCGTGCCGTGTCTCAGGGAGGATGCGACAAATCCTGACCGCTTCTCCCCACCCGCCCCAGGAAGAACAGAGGGGCTGCTGCACACCAGGACCGGCTTTCCTTCTGGCATTCCTGCAGCGGCTGGGAGCTCTAGCCTGAACTCTTGGGGTAGGGGTTATTTTTGGAGAAAAGCCTATCCTTTGTTGTTCGTTCTGATTCTTTGGCATGGGAAGCGAGGGGATCTTTGCATCTGGGGATCTTGTTTGCTAGCTTAGTCCACCCAGCCTTCCGCTTTCTGGGAAATATCTGCTGACTAAATTGAACTGACACGTATTAAAATATACACCTTTCTGAGAAGAGGAGATGCTCACATTATAGTATCTAAAAGGGGGTTATTTATCATCAAATAGAAACAAGTATAGAATTTGGCTGTAGTCTGACTTTAAAAGATGACTGATTAAGGTTTCTAACTAGCAACGATGTGGATAGTAAATCATTAATCAAACCTGCTGATTTATAATGCCAATGCTGGGAATGTGTTAGCTCTTAATCTCTCCCTAAATTTAAAATGAAGAGTGGGAATGGTCCGAAGTGTGGTAAAACACTCTATAAAGTAATGTAGTCTAACACTTCTCTAGGTTTCTGTTATTGCAACTGTAATTTTAGACATTTGTACAGGTTATCTTGGACACAGGAAAAGTATATAGTCACAGACATAAAACACCTATGTATAAAATATAAAGCAGTGTTATAGTTACTAAAAAGGACATGCCTTATTGCTACAGCAATTCTTGCTTTTTATATATTGTACTGTACCACAACTTGTTTTGAGAATGTCATTTGCATAAATTATTCAAGTTTGAGAAATATTCACACATTTTGATTCTACAATATTTAAAATAAAACAATTTTCTAATGTGTCTCTTTATTAAAAGAGAAATAAAAATGTCATCTTGTAATTCTCTTAGGCCAGACACAAGGGTTTATACACCTTTTTTCTTCTTTCTCGCTATTTACTTGCACAATGAAAGCCGCTGTTGGTACAAAGATTGAAGAGCTCTATATAATGGTGCTTTACACATTCACAATCGGTCTGTGCAATTGTGAAGTTCTATGAATGACCAAAGAATTACCAAACATATTTTCTAAATATAAAGGAAAAAAAAAAAAAAAGAATCCTTGGTTCCCATTAAAACAACACCAGGTTGCAATTTGGACACTCGAATGAATTCCAATGTTTTAAAGCTGAGACTTCAAAAGAGAAAGGCATGTTTGCTGCAACATCCGGTGACTGTAATACCTTACTTGGAAAGGTAAGTGGTTAATTTGCATAATTTATAATTTTTATACTAAAGAGCATTTTTTTTTTATATAAACCAGAAAAAAACCCCTAAACTCTACAGATAAAGTTCTTACCTCCAGTCACTGCTGCAGGTAAGGTTGACATCAAGCTGTACAGCGCAATCAAAAACATACTTACATCTTAGCTCATTTTACAGGTACAGCCATAATCAAGGCACAAAGATCTTCTACAAGTATTTTTCTTCAATAAAGTTGTACAAAATAATATTACATTTTACAGTCTGTACAATATAATAAACCAGCAGTAAAACAAAAAAATATATATAGGGAGAGGACTGTTGTCCAAGAATGATCGGAACTAAAAGGATCATTTGTGGACAGCACAAATAACGTAAGTGAGGGTGGTAAATTTTCTGCCTAGATGCAACAGGCTGAAAAGTAGCTGTAATTCAAATGCCTGAGGTGTGCAGAGACACTTAGCTCCAAAACCCCAGAAAAATTGCTTTGTCTTCACTATTCCTCTCATTATCTACTCTACTTCCTGTGCCAGTAACGGCTTAAAAGAGGAGGTCACTTTATCAGTTGACCTGCAACTCAGAAATGCTAAAAACTGTGACAGAGTAATAAATATTGTGGTGCTGCTACATTGTGTGTCTACTTCCTCAACAGTATTTAATAACCTGATACAAAGTGCATTAATCTTTTTTTCACCCATCAAGTACTCTTCAATGTCATGTTAAAAAGGAAACCCACACAGAGGGATAGCTATGACTTTTAGTGTCATCCAGCTAACATACCAGTTTGAACTGACGTTAACCTGCTGGAAAAAATTTAGCAGGTCATGCTCAGTTAAAAAAAAACAACAAAACCTAAGGGAACAGAGGTAGCCAAAGGGCTTAGTGGAATGACGAAGAAGTGGCATGTCAAAATAAAGCACAAAAATAGTCCCAAAAAGCATGAAGGAAAAACAACCCAAACTTGCTTCGAATCAGCTTTAAGGTTAAATAATTAAAGTAAACAAAGTGAAGAGACTGACATTTCTATAGTATATTCTTCCACCCTGTGTGGGGTAGTATCAAGAGAAAGAGTAAGGAGCAAAGAATTTAAAACCACAGGTTCCACGGTGATCCCCCTCACAAGAGTTCGTACTGGCGAAGATGCATTCTTTGAATGATGTCTCGACAGTCGTTGAACACTCTGCGGATATTTTCTGTGTCCACTGCACACGTAAAGTGTGGGTAGCAATAATGCCGGCCGTCTCCGCTCGCTGTACTTATCCTCTGTGGAAACAGAGAGAAAAAAACATGGTAAGGAGTTGTTCCTCACAGGTTTCCCCTCCCGGTGACCTGGGGACTTACAGGAGGCCAAGAAACTTGGACACGTTACATATATATAATACTTTAAATAAATAAAGTGGAATTACCAATACAGTGGCTGGGTTCACGTAAAATAATAAAACAAGCACAAAGCCAGCAAACATCAGACCACTCAGAAATAAATTTTCATAAGGCTGCTGCACAACTCTTTAGGTTGCTGACTTAAGCTCCAATGTTATTTTGTTGAAATGCCCCAGGACCTTAAAATATGTTAAAAGTGACAGTTTTGTTCTGTGTGGCTATAGGGCTGAGATCGGTAAATCCTAGTCCAGATCCTGAAGACATAGAAGATAGAGAAATTCATCAAAGATGGAGGCCAGTTGTTGGGAGAAACCTTTTTGTAAACTTTTTCTGAATGTTAATACAAATTATAATGGCTAAACAACGAAAGGCAATGGTCTTTTCTCTGTGGCTACACTGTACATTTTTAATACGGTGATTTATTTTACAAGTGGGAGTAAGCTTTTAAGCATGTCCAGCTAAAGATATGCAAAACTACTGGCATCTAGAAGCAGTGTTTTATATAAATAGAGCAATAAGAAGTTGCAGATATTTGCAGGTAAAATTAGATATTCGACATTAATTAAACAGAAGACTCTTAAATATATATTAAAAATATTTTCTTCTTACTAAGCTACACTCAGTATCTACTTCAAGGGTTACCCTCATGAGAAATATTAATTTAATACCCCATGCAACTCACGGGTAAGTTGTTCAGACCATATCTGAAGCATGAAGTACATTAAATAATAATGAAATAAAAGTTTTATGAACTACTTCAATGGTGGCAAAATTCTGAAACAATTGCAATTTTGATTGTATTTTTCCACCTGCAGGACACAGGCTTCCAGATCTCCTAGAGTTGTTTGGGGAGATCAGTGTCTTGTAAATTTGGAGGAAATCTGACCCCTAGGGCTGGAAAGATGGTGGCGTGCACGGAAAGTAACAATGATTGGGAACACTAAAAAGTGCAGCAGTGTTTCTGGTTTTGATGCAACAGCTGCTTTGCATCTTTTCCCCTGCAGATCTATATGAAAGTCTGTCCCCTGACACTTCTCTCATTTTAGGACGTGAGATTTTCACCCCCACTCAAAACTCGATCTGAAGAGTAGTGTTTTACTCGGCACCAGGTCAGAGGGGAAAAATACGCTCTGGGCCAATGGAAGAACATTTCCTTTCCTAGAACACCAGAGGGAACGCTTAATGTCAGCGTCCCTGGACTCCAGGGGTGGGGATGACAAAAAATTTTCAGTGAGGAGCCAGGCATACGAGCCGAGGAAGCTCAGCCTGTGTATCCGAACAGCTGCTCCTACAACTCCAAAATAGAGCTTTTTAAAAACCAGAAGGAACCAGAGGAGCCGGGCCAATGTTTTAAAGGGTGTTACCTTTATACTGGGGATGTATTAAAACAAAACATCACCAGCTGGAGAATCTTGTGTACAAAACACCAAAATTGGGATAGGGAGTGTTTTGAACAATGAGTTCAAAAGAGCTTGGCAGGAGAAAGGATGTACAGAGAGCTTGGGAGGCGAAAGGATGTGCCTGCACCTTCAGCCTGTGTCAGAAGGAAGGAGAATTTCCTCTAAAACACATTTCCTGCTACGGGAGCTGCTGTCACCAGCTGGGGGGCAAGCGGCGAGAGCTGCCTGGGAGAGAAAACACCATCGTCGAAAGCCGAGTTGGATTGCCAGCCCGGCAGCAGCAGCGTGCTTCCTGCCAGGCCTCACCCAGCGCTTTCCCCGGTTAAAAATTAATCACTTTGGTTTCATCGGTGCTCGCAGCCGACCTCCTGCTGAAGCCTGCAGACACCACAGGCAGCCACACTGGTTCTGAAATGAGCAGCCGATGCGTTTTGCCTTCCTAATGCTCGTATGTTACCTTTTAGCTGTATTTGTTGGGGATGTTTTTATACTTATCTGCAGGTTGAAAATGATTGATCACTACTTCTTCCTTTCACCTGGCTAAGGACATGAGACCCCTTCCCCAGTCTGTACGCTGCATCTATTTGTCTTGTATCCCCCTCTCCAGAACCACAGCCTCTCCCCAGGACCATTTCTGCTTGGCCTGAGCACCAGCCTCTGTCCCTGCTTGGCCCTGTTGTTGCCACCACCCACCAGGCTCATTCAGGCTCTTCAGACCCCTTACCTGACCAGAAACACCTCGCTTGCAAGACTTCCCGTTCAAACAGATGGAAAGTTTAAAGTAACTGTTCAAATAACTAAGTTTCTCTATTTTTTTTTTTTTAAAGCTGAATAAAACAAAGCACAAAACCAGGAGAGAGAAACCCAGGAATTGTTTATGGAGGAGATGCTCTCTGCCAAGCCTACAGTGCACGGGTGGCACTGGGGAGAAGCTGTTTTGGCCCCATGCCCAAGCCCCGGGAGCTGCTGGCAGGTGCTGGTCCCAGCCCAAACTCTGCTCCTGCACCCCAAACCCATGGCACCCACAGCTGCCAAGGGCCTCTGCAGCTCTGTGGTTGTTTTTTTTTCATGTGGTTGCAATGCCTACACCCCCTTCCCTCCCTACCCGCTTCGTAGGTGGCCTCTTTATATAACGCACGTGAGTCATCGCAGGTAAGGATCTCGCCCTTGAAGTATTTTTTTGGATAATGAAGAAACAAAAAGGCGGGGAGTTTCACCCTAGTTTTCCTTTCACCTGGTTCCCTTGGACCCTCCTTCCTAACTGGACACCCTCCCTGTCTGCCTCACAGCACGTCGGCATGACTGCCAGAGAGCCTTGGCTCAAAGTGCTCTTGTTTTTGGTGACTCTTATTTCAGAGCAGTGCAATCTGATGGTTTTCCTCATAATCCGGAAGGCTAAGGCAGTGAGTGGAAATCCCCCAAGTGTGAACATAATTAATTGCTTCTTTCTCAGTTGTTGATTCAACAGCTGTAAATCCTAACAATGCTTCTAAACGCATGACTTCAAACTTCTTAATTCTAATGATTACACTTGTTCTCGCGAACACCCCCATATAGTTTCTATAAGTAGGGCAGGATTTGAAGTGCTAAGCTTTAGTTCTGGTCTCCGTTACTACTTTGCAGGGTTGGAATGACTCAATATGACTGAAACCGTAAGTTATTTTGGATTAAGCCCCTGTTTCTGGTAGGAATGCTGGGCTGTGATTGTGCGACTGATAATTGCCTCTATCTGTGATATGTAGATAACACCTCTTCGGTTCCAGCTTCAGAGGAAATCTTAATCACAAAAATAACTGTGACCAAACAAGTCAGCTTCCTTACTGATTCCTCAGTAGGGCGAGGCAAACCTCCTAACTCACACAACAGTCAACAGAATTAATTTTTAAGGATAAAATCTGCTTTCTCGTTCATTCCCTCTTGCCAGCTAAACACCGCCAAAGCCCTTGGAAGACTGCAGGTTAAAAAACCAAAAGCTGATTTGCTTGGGCACGGACTGGACTGACACGCAAAATAAACATCCAAGGCAACAGTCAGTGGCATCTTACAGGTGAAGCCAACCACAGGAAATCTCACT